AGAGGAAACTAAATCATTATCTAGAAGAGATATCTTTACTCCCATGTTTACAACAGTGGACAACCTAAGTGTCTGTCAGTGCATGAATGGATTAAGAAAATGCAGCATATATATAATGGAATATTATTCATCCTTAAAAAAGAAGGAAACCCTGCCATTTGCCACAACATGGATAAACCTGGAGGGCATTATGCTAAGTGAAATAAATCAGAGGACAGACACTGCACGGTATCAGTTACATGTGGAGTCTAAAAGAAAAGTCAAAGTCATAGAAACAGAGTAGAAAAGTAGTTGCAAGGGAGGGGAGAGATAGGGAGAGGCTGGTAAAAAGGTACAAACTTTCAGTTATAAGATGAATAAGTTCTGTGTATCTAATGTATAACATGGTGACTATGGTTGATAACACTGTATTGTATAGTTGAAATTTGTTAAGAGAGTAGAACTTAAATGTTCTCTCCAAATAAAAGGTAAATATATAACCAAAAAAAAATATCACGCATGATAGCCAAAAAGTGGAAGTAACTGTAATGTCTGTCAACTGAAGGATGGATAAACAAAATGAGTAGAATATTAGTCATCAGTAAAAATAATAAAATACTGACACGTGCTACAACGCAAATGAACCTTGAAACCATTATACTAAGTGAAAGAAGACAGTCACAAAAGACCAAATACTGTACAGCAATGACTTTTTAGATACAATAACAAAGGCACAATCCATGAGAGAAATAATTGATAAGCTGGACTTATTAAAACTAAAAACTTCTGCTCTACAAAAGACAGTGTCAAGAGAATGAGAAGACAAACCACAGAGTAGGAGAAAATATTTGCAAAAGACACATCTGGTAAAACACTCTTATCCAAAATATACAAAGAACTCTTAGAATTCAACAATAAGAAAACAACCCACTTAAAAAATGGGCCATGGGGCCGGCCTGGTGGTGCAGTGGTTAAGTTTGCACGTTCTGCTTCTTGGCGGCCCAGGGTTCACAGGTTCAGATCCCGGGTGGGGACATGGCACTGCTTGGCAAAAAGCCATGCTGTGGTAGGCATCCCATGTATAAAGTAGAGGAAGATGGGCATGGATATTAGCTCAGGGCCAGTCTTCCTCAGCAAAAACAGGAGGATTGGCAGTAGTTAGCTCAGGGCTGATCTTCCTCAAAAAATAAAAAGTAAAATAAAATTAATTAATTAAAAAATGGGCCAAAGAGGGGCCAGCCCTGAGGTGCAGTGGTTGAGTTCACACATTCCACTTCGGCAGCCTGGGGTTGGCCAATTCAGATCCTGGGTGCAGACCTATGCACTGCTTATCAAGCCATGCTGTGGCAGGCGTCCTACATATAAAGTAGAGGAAGATGGGCACAAATGTTAGCTCAGGACCAGTCTTCCTCAGCAAAAAAAGAGGAGGATTGGCAGTGGATGTTAGCTCAGGGATAATCTTCCTAAAGAAAAAAAGACCTTAACAGACACTTCACAAAAGAAGATGGAAAATAAGCACATGAAAAGATGCTCCACATCATATGTCATCAGGGAAATATAAATTAAGACAATGAGATACCATTGTGCACCTATTAAAATGGCTGAAAGTAGTAACATTGACAACACCAAACGCTGACGAGGATGTGGAGCAACAGGAACTCTCATTCATTGCTGGTGAGAATGCAGAATGGTACAGCAACTTTGAAAGATAGTTTGGCAGTTTCTCACAAAGCTTAAGATAATTTTACCATAAAATTCAGCTGTCACCTTCCTTGCTATTTACCCAAAGGAGGTGAAAACTTAGGTCCACATAAAAGCCGACAGCTGTAAACTCCTATAAACACGCTATAAGCACAGATGTTTATAGCAACTTTATTTATAATTGCAAGACATGGACGCAACCAAGATGTCCTTTAGGTGAATAGATAAATAAACTGTGGTACAGCCAGACAATGGAATATGATTCAGCACTAGAAAGAAATGAGCTATAAAGCCACGAAAAATCATGGAAGAAGCTTAAATGCATATTATTAAGTTAAAGAAGCCAATCTGAAGGCTACATACTGTATGATTCCAACTATACGACATTCTACAAAAGACAAAACTATGGAGACAGGAAAAAGATCAGTGGTTGGGGAGGGGGATGAATAGGTGGAACACAGAGAATTTTTCGGGCAGTGAAAATCCTCTGTATGACACTATAATGGTGGGTACGTGTCCTTATACATTTGTCTAAACCCACAGCATGTACAACACCAACAGTGAACCTACTGTAAACTGTGGACTTTGGGTGATTATGATGTGTCCGTGTAGGTTCATTGATGGTAACAAATGTACTACTCTGGGGGGCTGTTGACAGTAGGGGAGAGGCCATGCATGGTAGGCGCAGAGGCTATATGGGAAATCCCTGTACCTTCCTCTTAATTTTGCTGTGAACCTAAAACTACTCTAAAGAAGAAAAAGTTCTCTTTTTAAAAAAGAAATAACTTGGTGCTTCGTGCCACCCTCAGAATAGATAGGAAATTAAATTTCAACTTGGTCTTAAGCAACTGTTTCTCTTTATGATGTAGGAGTTTATGTTACCAATTGATTTTTCAGGAAAGTGAGAGAATTTTCTGATTCATGATAAAATTATAAAAACTGTATATAATTATAATAACAAGGTTTTATTAAATAATAACTATAGTCATGTACCACATAACAACATTTCGGTCAACGATGGACCATGTGTATGACGGTGGTCTCATTAGATTTGGTACCACGTAGCCTCAGTGTACAGAAGGCTATGCCATCTAGGTTTGTGTGGGTACATTCTATGATGTTTACATGACAACAAAATCACCTAACAACCCGTTTCTCAGAACATGTCCCGTCACTAAGCGTCTCTTAACTGAATTATTATAATAAGTCAGGAACTGTGCTGTTTGTTTGGTGTGTGACTCCCACTACAACTCTGAGTCAGATTTTTCTATCCTCATTGTACAGATAAGGAAACTGAGGCACTCCTTAGTTTCCAGATGGTCCATTAACATTTCCTACTATTCAGAAATTCTGCATTGACAAGAACTGTGACGCGAGGCAACTTCATTTTCTAATGGGTAAAAGAACTACCTCTTTAAATTTAGTGTAATGTTTTCTAGGACAAAAGAGTCTGTGCTTTCCGTTCTACTCAAAGGTTTCCAGGTTCCCGATAGAGGAGAGGTTGGCAGCGTACATGATGGAAGAGGCACCTTTCACGTAATAGTGCACTGTCTAAGAAGATGGATTGGAAACATACAGAGCTAATAACACCAAAGATTTTCTTTGCTGGGTTAGCTTTTATACATTAATTATACAGAAGAACCTGCCTAAATGGACGCTCCTGCTGTGGGATGTTTCATTTTAAGAGCGCATTCTTTTCCTTACTCTGCACCTGAGTTGAGAGATATTATCAGAGAGCAATCATGGAGATAAGCTGATAGACTAAGACAAAGTTTATTCCATTTGTAGCATAAGCTTTTTCATTTAACTGACCAATGGATCATCATCAAATGGGAGACTGTGTCACCGTGATATGGGCAGGTCATCCCTGTGTTAAACTACTCTCTAGTTCTAAATCAGATATCCCTGAAAACTGCTTTAACTTGGCAAATTTTTAAGATGCTCTTATTTATGCCTCTGCCACACTGTATAAGATAATACAGCCTGTAGTCTCGTCCTAGATATTCATTTTTAATGTCAATCGTAAATAAATGTTACTTGATGTGTACAACCAACTTGAGAACCTTCCCCTTTTCTCTGTAACTCCTTTAAAGACAGCAATTTCCAAATAACTAAATACAACGATATTGTTATTTTCCAAACTGAAAATATTTTTATTTTCATTTTCTCTAATTTCTGGGGTACTATTTTTATCCAGTCTTATTGGTGCACATATCTTGCCTGGAGGACAATTGGATTTTTTTTCCTTTTTAAAAAAAAAACAGGGGCCGGCCTGGTTGTGTAGTGGTTAAGTTCACACACTCCACTTCAGTGGCCCAGGATTCGCTTGTTTGGATCCCGGGCATGGACCTACACACCACTCATCAAGCCATGCTGTGGTGGCATCCCACGTAGAAGAATAGAAGAACTTGTACTGCAGCTAGGATACACAGCTATGTATTAGGGCTTTGGGGAGTAAAAAAAAGAGGAAGATTGGCAACAGATGTTAGCTCAGGGCCAATCTTCTTCACCAAAAAAAAAGGATACCTTAAAAAAAAAAAACACTTTTCAATCCAGGTGAGAGGACTAAGTAGTCCAGGGGCTGATGACTACATACCAGTGCTCTGCCTGGCTTCTTATTCCCATAGCTTCACTTAATCTTCCCAGCCGGGAGCTAAAATAGTCCTGTTTCCAGTCATTTCCAACAACTGCCTTTCTGTTTGCTCTGTACAATGAAGGAATGGGAAAATCTAGTTACTTTCTGTTTCATGTGAGTTTTCTTTCCCCTGTAGCTTTCCTAAACTTGCTTCTCTTTTATGCAATAAGTTTTCCTTTCTCCTGAGCCATCATTTCCGCCGCATCTCCAGTGACCACACCTTTCCTCAGGTCCTGGGTTCCCTGCCCTTCTGCCCACCTGCACGGCGGGTCCAGGGCTCACAGCTTTGGAAAGGGAATTCTGTTTTCTTGGTCGTCATTGCTATTACCTTATTTGACTTAAGTTCCCCCTTTCTTAAAGTTTTGAAGTCGTTTTTTCTAGAAGTTGATTTGGTTGGTTCCCTTCTATCCTTTGTTTGTTCTCCTTCATGACTTCCAGCCATATTTCCCTTTTCTTTAAATGTCAAACAAATTCTTGCGTTCCATTATGAACATAGTCAATGGCCAGCAAACTTGACACTTACATTCATTGGACCCCACAAAATAAATTCAAGAGTTTTGTTTAATACTATACCTGTGTGCATGCGCGCGCACACATGCACACATGCACGCGCACACATGCACACACGCACACATGCACGGTGCATTAAAGAAAATCAATGTAAGCAACTGTGATTCTCTTTCAGAAACACGATGGCCACTTCACAGTCATCCAGTTGGTCGGTATGCTCCGAGGCATCGCGTCAGGAATGAAGTACCTTTCTGATATGGGTTACGTTCATCGCGACCTGGCAGCTAGGAATATATTGGTCAACAGCAACTTAGTATGCAAAGTCTCTGATTTTGGTCTCTCCCGGGTGCTGGAAGACGATCCAGAAGCCGCTTATACAACAACTGTAAGTTTGCATACTCTTTCCTATGTACTTATTGTTTTTAATGTTATTAGAGTAATTCTGTTTTTGTTTTCCTAATTTTCTGCTGTCAATTCTCATTTTCCCAATTTTACATCATTATTTAATTGAGAAGCATTCGCTTTATTTGAGCGCCTAGTGAAAAAAAAAAAAAGAGACATTCTTAAACTGGACTGCTGTCTTCCTTCCGCTGTACTGCGGCTCTGTCTTCACATCATGCTCACAGTCCACGTCATGACTACCTTCCCCAGGAATCGGCCTCTGCCTGAGGCATTTTTGATGCTTCAGGAACTATCTCCTTTGAGTGGAGTTCTGTACAGGCCAATGGTGCAGCCACTTTATGAGTCAGTGATGGTGAAGAGCCAGGGGTTATGAAATGACGTTGTTTTTCTCACAGCAAATGTTATGGAATGATCTGATCACACTTAAAAATGAACAATATAGGTTTCTCTGCAGATATATAAGTACTCTATAAACCTTTTTCTAAATGATACTTGGGAAAAATGTGAGCAGGAATAAAAGGCTAAGACTTGAGGACCAAACCATCACGTGCAAATTATATGATCTCAACTTAACTCATGAATAGTTTCAGCGTTTCTGAATGCCCCAAAACCAGTTCAGTCCACTGATCTATTTGGTTCTTGTTTCAAGGAGCTCAGCCTCAAAGTCTCTCTTCAGCTATCTTATAGTTTTGTAAAATTATACTATATTCTGTTATTTTTTTTAACAAAACCCTTACCATTGACTCATTTGACAGTCAACTTCAATGAAAAACGTCAGTAAAACTATTCAAGATGTTTTTCTTCTCTTCTTTTTTTCTAACTTTATACATTATTTTAAAAGAGGCAAATCTGCCATTTAGTTCCGTTTTATTTCATTTTCTGTGAGATTTTTTTGAAACTTCGCTGTGTTCACTTACTCCAGCATGCGTGCAGTTTAATATCATGAATGAAACGTGGTATGCTCTTACCATGTTTGCTTTGTAGAAATGCACTGTATTAATGTATCAATGATATTTTCACTAATTTCTGCAACAAAGAAGTACAGTTCTAAGGAAAATAATCCCTCAAAGCCTGATATATAAGGTAGCAGTATCTATTGATCTTTTAATTTGACCAAAAACTTCATAAAAATAAAAGTCTATCAAGTCCAAAAATAAATTGTCCATTTTAAGAAAAGCAGTATTTTCAACTCCATTTTCTAATTGGAAAATGTCATAATTATTTTCATTTTTTTCAAGGCCTTTATTTTCTTCTGTTTTTACAAATGCATAACTTTAAGCAACTTTTCAAGTTATAAAACAATGCATAAGATTCTCTTATATATATTATTCCCAACCTTGGAAAATAGTGTTTAAAATTATTATAAAAATATTATAAAATATAATAAAAATTGCAGCAAATATAATCTACTAAAATAATAAAATAAGATAGGAAATACCACTAGAGTCTGACTGTGTGCCTGTAGAGACACGCTTGAGATCCCTTAATAAATAGTGTTTGGACTGCTTTTCTACAGGGGAAGCTCACAACTAAATTTAAGATACTAGTAAAACTGTCAGGGTAACCCAAATTTTGAAGCAAATATAGGTTTGTTGGGTCAGATTTGACATCAGGATTCCAGGAGTGTTCTTCTGTCTCACATGATTATAAAGACGGAGAGGCCAACAACAGTGCTGTTTGAAACTTAAATCTGACTACAGAATTAAACATCGAATTAGGTGTTAACACTCCAAAGTGTGCCTCTTAAAAGCTATAGATTATGTCTCAATTAAGAAATTAAGAAATTAAAAATAAGTCCCTAAATTTGAGGTATCAATTAAATGGCAAATAATGTAATCAAATATTTTTTCAAAAATCTCAGAAATACCTAACTGCTCAGAGAATCCTGGATCACAAAATATCGCACGCTGAGTGCTTGACTTACAATAAGCAAGGACATTCAGTGCTTAAAATAGCAGAGCTCTTGCCTTCGAAGAGCCCACCCCCCGACAGAGCAGACTGACTCACCCTTCCTTGCTATTCAGTGTGGTCATAAAGGTCTGAAAAAGAAATATGGAAGCCCCAAAACAAGGAGGTCTAGAGAAGACTTCACAGAAAGGTAAAATTTGAACCAAATAGTAAAAGATCTCATTAGGCAAACAGTTGGGAAAAAGGTTCAGATAGAAGAACCAGAAAGAAGAAAAGTGATGGAAGTTTGAGGAAGTGAATGGGCATGTTGATGGAAATGTGGGCGTTGAGAATGGGGCCAGGGCCAGGGGATGGGGCAGGTGTCTTGGGAATCATTGTGAAGGCAGTCAGGTGGCACTTCAAGAAATTCTAAAGTTTTTCTATAGAAATTAAGAAACAGACAGTGATTGATTTAAATAACAGCTACATGCATGTAACAAAATACATGCCTGTCTTAGAAGATGTTGTTGACAACAGTCTGAAGGAAGGAGGATTGAACAATAGGAGGACTGGCCACAGGGAGACTAGGTGGGGCTTTATTGCTGTAGACCAGAAAGGCCATACTTTAATTAGGGCAGTGGTGGCTGGAATAAGAGGGGAGAGAATTGAAAATTATTATGAGGGGCCGGCCCTGTGGCTGAGCGGTTAAGTTCTTGCGCTCCGCTTCCAGGGCCCACGGTTTCGCTGGTTCGGATCCTTGGCGCGGACATGGCGCTTATCAGGCCATGCTGAGGCGGTGTCCCACACAGCACAACCAGAAGGACCTACAATTAGAATATACAACTATGTACTAGGGGGGCTTTGAGGAGAAGAAGAAGACAAAAAAAGATTGGCAACAGATGTTAGCTCAGGTGCCAATCTTTAAAAAAAAAAGAAAAGAAAATTATTATGACTGTACAATTTGCAAGACTCAGTAACTAATTAGGTATGAATTATAAGGAAGAAGAAAAACTCAAAGATGACACCAATATTTCTAGATCGAACAACTAGTTGAATGGAGATGCTGTTAATCTCGACAGAGAAGCCCTGTTAGAGATGGCCTGGCTGAGGGCAGTGATTGCAAAGCAAAGTTTTAAGAAAAGGTCACAGGGACTCTGTCCCAAATCATCAAGACTATACCACATTCTTTGGCATTGTTTTTTATGCCAATTTGTTACACAAATTTTGTGTAAAATTTTTAGGACTTTACGTAAATGTACTTAGACCACAAATACTTTTTGTATTTCCTGTTAAAAGGCACGAGATGGTTAGAAAACTTCACTGCCTAATGAAGACGTACCTCAACTCGAGCAAAGCCTTAGAATAAAGTGCAGAAGACAAATTGTCATTTATGTGAAAGGATTCTCTGTTTTATGAAAATAACTTTAAAGAGCAAACTCCCTTGATATGTTTTTTAAAAGTATGATTTGATTTTTTAAAGTTTTATCTGTATATAACTTTCTTGGAACATATCTTTTACCTTAAATGATTTTGATTTTTTTCCTTTTGTGTAAGTATAATTGCTATTTCCTCATTACTTGTAAATGTTTTTATAATCTGCATCAGGAAGAGTTTGGAGGAAAGAGAAGATGGGGAAAGTTTTAAAAACAGGAAGACATCATGGATAAAGATCTTTTTTTTGTAATCTTCAAGAAAATAATCCTTAGAACAGTATGGTACATGGAAACTATCCCTTCCTAATCAAAATAGGGGCAGATTAAATAGGCATTTTCCATTAAAATGACTTTGCCACTTTAGAGAGCCACAGATCACAGCAAAGAGCAGTAAGAACTGGTAAAAAGACAGGCTGGAAAGATAGAGCAACAGTCTGACTCCAGCACTGACTGTGGTACTGGACTGGTCAGCGTGTGGCAGACCAGCAGGACAGCCACCGGAGCCAGAGTGGCCAGACCAGAAAGAGATGTGACAAGAGAGATTATGCTGCCAACAGTTAGTGAGTCCTTTAGCACCCTATTTAGAAGACATATGTGTGTAATATATAAGAATGTATTATCTACATTATAAAATACACTAAAGCAAATAAAAGGGTGAGATTTATACCTAAACAGTGGAAATTCAGTATTTCTTCCTGCAAATTCAGAAAGCTTGCACGCCCTGTTCAGGTCCAGGCCCAGTCATTGAACATGTACTCAACACAGTTTTATTGTGGAGCTACCATGTTTAAGGCCCTATTCCCTGGAGGGCCAATAACCAAAATCAAAGGATTCTTGAGAACAGGTAAATGACTACACAGGGAGGACCAAGAGTACCCAAACACAGTAAAACATACTAAAAGCAATAGAAGTGCAGACGCCAAGAGTGGGCCGTGCAGCGCGAGAGGCAGCAACAATGGTAGCAGGTTTTCCTGGAAAGCCCTGTCCTGAAATACATCAAGCCTTTGCAAAGGAACCTAAGAACTGCTAATGGCATGAAAACCAAGAAATGTGCCTTGTAAGCTAAAGATAGAAGGAGAAAAATGCACCAAAACAGGCCCTAGACGAGGACTGAGGCCCTGCCTGTAGGTGCAGTTCGATGAAGAGCTTACCCAGCGCTTCGTGCGGGAGATGGGTGAATGCTCATGAACCACATGGAAGGACACATGTGCAATTAGTGGCATGTGGTGGACTCGATCTGCATGAAGTTTACTGAGCTTGGATTGTTCTCATTTGGTTACATGGTCCCCTCTCTGGTTATAATTTTGGCGCTAAGAAATCTCTTCCTTTTCCGACACACTTTCACATGGACGACAGTTGCAGATCCAGTTCCACAGGAGGGACTCTCTCGCATTTGAATATTGCTAAGCAACCAGGCTTAAACTGAAAATGTTAAGCCTCTTTGCTCTCAGTTATGGAAATGAGGTCCTTTTACCTAAAAAAGAGCATTAAAAGATATATTATGGCTAACACTTATCTGTTTTGAGAGATAAGTTTTATTTAAAATATAACGGCAGTTACTGTTCAGATTTTTTAAAATTATGAGTAACTCCTTTTCTTATATTTTAAGGATCAAAACAAAATGGGAGAATCATTTTATCACAGCATCTGCTAAAAATTCTAA